GCTAGATCGTGAACTGCACGCTCTAGGCATGCCAGCAACGAAAAATAACAACGCGTATTACTCCTGTTTTCGCCATGCCTTGTTGCTGTCAACTCATGATCTAGCCGCGTGCAACGCGCGATTATTCGTCAATCCTTTTTAATTAATATCTCAATTGTTATTGCGAAAATTGCAAAGCGGTTCAGGACTTTTCTATTCAGTTTACCGCACTCTACCCGCACACGAGCGGCACGGACATTATGAAACACCCTGTAGATACGGATCTCCGATGATACGAGTAATCGTTCACGAATATTTGTAGTATAGAATAAACTAAATTACTGAAAAGTGTCTGAATCTTTTTGCATATAAAATTTTATAATTATCCCAACAAATTGAAATGAACGTTACATTGTTATTACAATTGGACGATCATTCTGTCTTGAAAATATTGCTGCTCGTTTTTTTATTAGTCGATAACATGAAATTACAAAGACGCTTGAATATTTTTTAGATAAAGTATCGACAATTTCAAGTTTTATCTGGTTTACCTGTACTTGAGGGAGGAGTATGAATTTTTTGTCACTCGCACAATCATTGGCGTTGTCGGCGTGGTCGATGAAATTAATTTTTGTTCGTCGCCGTAATCCGGCGATGGAGATTTATCACCCATCTTCAGCACATTGCCATTCATCCCATTTATTCCATTCATCTCGTTTATCTTAATTCACACTATTAACCGCACCGCCCTAGCTTCTGCAATTATGCATTTCTTCTTAAACTCTTTCTTTCCCACGAAGATTTGAGGCTTTCCAATGTTTCGAGGATTGTCACTTTTCACTCTCAGCGTTTAATTACGCGTTCTCATCCGAATAATACACTCTTTCTTCTTTAATCAATTTATAATCGAAAGATGCACTTGTAGAGTCGATTGTAGAACTTTGTACCGTTCTATTCAATTTTTTCTTCTCACGAAAATAGATTTAGAATTCACTGTTCCTACTCTCGATTTTTACGTGCTATGTTTTCCGATTTTAATTATAAACTTTAGTGTTTTTTAAAAATAATCTGTAAATTTGCACTCGTTAATAATTAGATTTTTCACGACGGTTGAATGACGCGCACGCATCCGATGGAGACAGTGGCAGAGGATTCACCGTTGCAGGATAGACTGCTGCGAGCTCTCAATCATTTACGTCGTCTTATAGCACGCGTTGACCATCGGATGTCATTTATCGAGTGTTGCTAACGAATGCCGTTTGTTCTTCCTATTCCCGCGAGAAAAAGGTGATTACTCGCAACTATTGCGTCACTCGCGCACGACAAATATATGATCGATTCTGTTTTCGCCAAATTGATCAAATAAAATCACATTATGGAGGTCACGTAATGTAAATGTAATCATTTATCTTATGATGTATAGGGTAAGATAAAATATCACAATATATGAAAGACTGCATGTGAAATGTCGTATTCCGGAAATGTCAATTTTATATGCAACGCTCTTATAAAATAAAAATCTTCCGATAACCGGATAAAGTTCGTTTTTCCTTTCTTTTCTGTCTCTTATCTCTTTCCTCTTTCTCTCTTTTATAATTAGTAATTATATAATGAAAAATAGTCGTAGAATGGAAAGTCACTGAAGATTTAAGTACTAATATACGAACTAATTAAAAATCACTGTTGATTTTTTCTTGATTTACATACAGTTTTCAATTTTTTCCCACTTTTTCTCGAAATGAACAGACTAGAAAATTATTGTAAATATAAATTATACGTTAGATATTTATCAAAGAACGCGGAACCTCAAGAATATTAGTGTACTATTATTCAGATGATTAATTAATTGTTATATAATAATTTTAGAACTCGATAAAAGTGGTTCAATTAAAAAGAGCGTCTATCGCGAAATCTTGAGCTCGAAAAAAACGATCACATCGACGAGGTGACAGAAACGAGTTCACGATCCATGTGCGATCTTCGTTCAACTGACTGACTGACGTCGTGTAATTCTTATCAGAGTCTTAGCATCTTGTTATCAGAATCCGACTGACTGCTGAAATTGCACTGATGTACGCAAAACGTGTCAAGACAAAAGATTATCTTCCGTTCCTTGGCAGAAAAGATACGTAACATAAATCTTATTACGCTTTCTTGCATCTATATGAAAATATTTGTTTATATTTTTGATACCATTGAAAAAAGTTGGTTTAGATTAATACGAAAATTTATAAGAATTAAAATAAATACGAAACAAAATTTATAGGAATTAAGAAACTCTAAAATTTCCAAAAATAATTTATTGTATATAAATTATTATTTATATCTATAAATAAATTTTTTATTTGTATCTTTTAATCTTAAACAAACTTTTTTAAATATATTATATAATTTTGAAATATTTATTTCCTAGACATTTCTTGATATTCTGTGTTCTAGATGTTTTCAAGATATTTCTCGATAAGATATGAAATAATAGCAGATATAAAAAATAATATTTTAGATATTTAAATATCTTGTATTTTTTTACTACTTGAGCTAAAAATCTTGAAGATTTTAAAGATATAAATATTTATAATAGTTACAGTTTTAAGACAAAGTTGCCCGTGAAAGGTAATTATCTTTCGCAGTTAAGAATTTATGAACAATTAACTGTGACATTTTGCGATTAAGTCACTTATCTCGACTCGTGTCATAAATTGTTATCATTATCGTTGTGTAATAAATTACTTTTGCTGTCTAGATTTTATATTGAAAAAACATAAATTTTAATTATAATTCTTAAAAGCTATATTAACACACATAAGAAACTTTAGATCAATTATCACTTAATTTTGTTTAAGCAAATTTTGGTATTAACATTTTTTAACTTAAAGTGTCCTCGCAACTTCAACCTTCAGTTTAAAAATTCCAAGGTGTAAATTACTTAGTTAATAAATTCAGAAAAAACAGGAAAAAAAGTAAATGTACAGTCTATGACTTGTATATATCTTGCCTGTAATAACCCTAATTGTCGTACAAATTGCAAAGTTACTAACTGGTTCAGTACTGAAACAGCAAATAAACATGAAGCGACTGCACCAACCAGCTGTTTCGTTTCGATTTCACAAGAATAGGCCTTTTCGTCGAAGCGTTCAGTTTTTCATGACACATGATCGACGCAATCTTGATCCACACAAATTAAATCGTCATGCGCGAAAGGCTCTTTGATCAGTTCTTCGGTATCTCCCGCGCCCGGTCCAGAGCCAACTGGCTATCATGCGGTGATAATGAACCATTTAATTAAATTAACGAGTGGCCCGCTCTAGCGGAGACTTTAACGCTAACAAAAATTACTGACGATTTTGCTGCAAAGCAGAATATGTTCATAAACGATTCTGCTTTAATACCAAATTGTATTTACTTCAAATTTATGTTTCGATAAGTATATTCATTCAGCTAAATTTTTCATTGTACCAAACAAGTTTTGCTGCAGTAAACAAATAATTAAATTATCGCATCAAATACAATAATAGTAATAGCAAGATTTTTTCTCAACGTAAGAGAAACTTACTCGCCAATGACAATATTAAATACAAAATTCAACATTCTGCAGTAAATACGGGGATCAATTTGGCATTGGAAGTCAACTTCACCATTAGATATAATTAACGTGCGTTCGTGCATTATTAACGTTTTGTTCGCATTGCGTGTCGCGTGTGCGTGCACAAACGAGGTTACTATGTGTGTTTACCCTTTACTCGTTATTCCTAATGAGTTGCCATTTATCAGACCCGTGACGCGCGACACATGATCGTAACGTTATACCTGCATGGTATACATACTTCGTATACATATAACGTGACGTTATTGCAAACCTTGCATACATAACACATTTTTTTTCTCTTCAAATTATCTCCCTCCCCTTCGCCATTTTATTTACTGCATGTAAAACATCGAATTTCAAAGGTCTTGATTTTTGCAATCTTTTCCTCTTTGCGATCCACAATTATAATAATAGCTCGAACACGTCTAAATTTAATATTTCGCGGAAATACAATGCTCTTTGCCGAAGTTGTTTAAAACCGCGGAGAACACCTGTTGCGTAGAAACGCCGATAATCACTCCGACAAATGCGTGGCGCGTCTACTTTTAGCGCGCGGTGCTGCCAAAAATAAACAGCCCCGCTCATGATTTTTTCGATGCTTTTTATCGTCTCAACCGATTAAGCGAATTTTCAACCGATTAGAATGATCTGAATGGGATGAAGTCTCACCTAGTGGAGTCCTGCCGACCGATACCGCCAGCGATACTGCTGCTTTGGGTGCTGACTCTGACGAGGGTGATGTTCCTCGGTAGACTAGAAAGCACCGGGACACTCTTGTGACTTAGAAGAGGGGACTCCGCCCTTGCCGCGCTCTCCAGTAACTCTCGCGTCTTCTGACCCTCCGCCGCTTTCTCCTCCTCCTCCTCCTCGATAGTCCCCGGAAGTCGGAAGAGTTTCGGCGATTCCTCCATTCTCTTCTTCCACTTCCTCAGGAAGAAAATAGCTTTGATTTCAACTCCATTCTGGCAGCACATTCATTTTCTCTATCTTCCTTCTTCTTTATTACATCTGTCAGGATCGATTTTCACGCGAACCACTCCATCTCGAGTCTCTTGATAATTTTGTTGATTGTAATTTATTAAAATTGATTACTCAGCTTGCTCGTTTAGTTCTCTATTATTTATTTTTCCTTTTTCGATTATTTGAAATGTTGTGATTTCGGGTTGATCCTCGAGATGAGCTGCCGATCACTCGGCATCGCTGGATCGTCCTGTGCACCGGGTTATTGCTGATTCTAGAAAAAGAAAATTTCATCATTAAATATTTACTCTTCAATAATTTGTCGTTGATCGATTATTCATCAATAAATTACTTGTCGAAGGCGTTGGAAAAACGACTTGTACGTACATATGTGTACGTTATATAACATCTTTGAATAATCGATAAAAAAAATTTTCCTTTTATATTGCAAATTTTATGATCAATAAATTGGTCGATATAATGTGTTTGTTAAGCCTTGATTCAGTCAATTCAGTTACTTAATTCAAAAAATTTCATCATAAAAATAATGAACAATAATAATGGTTACGCGTTGCCAGCAAAATCCGCGTTCAAGATAAGTTGTCGATTGAGTGATTAAACAATTTATTTCTAAAACATTATAAACCAACTTTTGCAACAAATCGTACATGACGAAGTTTCCGTAGCTTTTCTATGCAGCACACGTTTGGTAAAAGGACATAAATTAAAATATGTATTAATGAAATATGTTTTCGCCATATGCGATTCCTCTGTAAAAAATCAAACGGCATACCTTTAAAAGCAATAGTGGTTTTTTCACGCTTTTCCGCGCTTTTTCAGTTCACATAGAGCGCACATACGCACGTCGCGCTCACTACTGTTTCAGATTCGCTTATGTTCGTTCGCTCGATTCGCACGAGATCTCGCCATGGCGTTTACCTCTTTATAGTGCACGGGCGGGGATAATACGCACTTAATAACTGAACACGCATATAAAGCCTGTCTCAAACGACCTAATATAGAAAGAGGGCAAATAATTATGCGTAAAGTTTTTACACGGCCTTAAATACTTGGGAAATTTAACAGTCCGCCGCATAATTTAGATTGATTTTTGCGCTCAGTTAAACAATGCGTATAAAATCGAAATTATCATAAAGAATATTTCCTCTTTTATACATTCAAGACACGAAAATTTATAGTTTGCGCTCTCGCGTGTCGAACCGAGTTCGAATCATAAACACGAGGTTCTATCATGTTCTATTTCAATTTGTTCCTTAAAATTCCAATTTATAAAGTGTATAAAATAGGCTTAACATCATGAACCTAAAATGGCAATATAATGTTCGCGCGTCAACACGCGCATCTTTCCGCTTTCCGCGCGTTTCCTCTCGTACCGGAAATAGATCCTGACGGGCACGCGAAGGCACATAAAAGTCTCTATTAACCCTATATAGATTTGCGGAAAACGATTGTTTTCTAGCAACATGTGTGGTGTAGTTTCTTGTATAACACGTAAAAATATCTCATATATGAGACTTTAATTTTAATGTAATTTAATATTATTTAGTGTAATAATAATAATAATAATATAAAATTATTCACAAGTTTAATCCTCAATAAATTTTTATAAAAATTTTTGCACTGTAAGATTTGTATGGTACATTTTGAGTGAAAATTCAAACGAGTATCTTTTTATTTTTATGATCTAGAATTATTATAAAGATTCTGGAGATGTGTGTGTGTGTGTGTGTGTGTGTGTGTGTGTGTGAGTGTGTGTGTGGAAAGCTTAAAAATAATAAGGATTGAGATGGATCTCGCGCATTTTTCTAATCAGAATAGTACCTCCAAAATCCCGAAAGTATCGCCTCGCGCACTTCATTGCACGCTGCTTGCTTCTCGCTTTGAAACATTCTGTTTATATTGTCATTTGCACATCTTCTCGTATTTCGCGCGCACATCCACGATGATTCACTTTATATTATTTATTATCAAATACCAAACATTGTATCTGTTGCCGGAATTTCAACGGCTTTCAGGAAAAACTGTAAATTTTCCTTGCACGCACCATCATGAAAATTCATAAACAGCTGTCACGTTCACATATTTCGCGACGGGAAAATACGTGCAATATCGAACAGCAAAGCGTTTCGTGAAACTGCGAGTTAGGTCGTATTGACGAGAAGACGCGCATCAGCAGGCTTTTTCGGTGACGTCAGACGCCTTCCACAGTCGTTTCATCTGTCCCCTCCTCTTCTTTCTCATTTCATCTTATCTCTCTTATCCTTTCTAAGCAGCCTTCTACTACCTCCTACTCATTCGCGAGATCGAGAATTGACGCGAAAGTTCCGCGTCTTCACGGTCGAGTCCGTGAGATCGTTCGCGTCTCCGTGGAATTTAATGATTGTGTTTACATCGCTCGAAATGATTGGGAAATGTATGCAATTGTTGTATTTTTTTCTTGCGATTCTCAGGAATTTCTTATCTTACAGTTTAAATTATAAAAAATTTTAACGCATTCTGCACAATTAACATAATATCATACGAGTGAGACGATTTTGAAAAACGTTCTACGAATTACTGCACGCGGTTTTAATCCGTCGATTCTTTTATTACGGCCTTTATTCGCGACTACGATTAAATCTAATGATGTGCGCGCACGTTCATGCCGACGTAATTGCAATTATTATGCCGGCGTTCATTCATCGACTTGCCGCGACATACGTGACGGCTTCCTCGGTACAGTCTCAGACTTTGTATAGCATAAAAAATCTTACTGTAATTGACACACAGTGTGCATAAGATGGCAAAATATGTAAAAAAATTAGGAAAAAAAATTTCATTGTCACGTAATTAAAGCAAACTTATTAATTAGACATGAAAAGTAAGCAAGCACAGAAGCTAATTTGATGACAGAGAAACATTGCTGTCTCTCGGTGACAATGGCCATCGTCTAGGATGACAGTCGTCGTGTTAAGAATGGGAAGAGCGTGTCATATCATCTTGCAATGGCAAATTGCGGACACTCCGTCTGTCTGTCCTCGGTCTGATATGCAGATTACTCAGCGCTGTCGCGTCGCGAATCGCGATTCGCGTCCGCGGGACTATTTATAGTTCGCGAAAACTCTTCGCGCAATTTGCAATCAGTTTTATCGATCTGGAATGACCAAACAGTAAACATTACTTATATTTAAACTCAGTTTCAAACTTATGTACTGTTTAATATGTTCATGAATATTGGATTTCGAAAATATTATAAAACGTTCGTATAAAAACGTATTCTGTTTATGAATCCATTGTTCGCTTGCATAATCTGTACGCATTCTCGTCTTCAGGGACGTCCCGAAATGAGCCGAATTCAGTGAAGGTTATCTAAATTGTCCTAACTGGGGCACAAAGACGTCATGCAATGCATTCGTGCAACTTAAGTTCCTCTAACTACGCAGCATCCGGGTTTTAACGATTAAAGAGTGACCAAGCAGAGCGTTCTCATTTTGTCCTTGTATTTAATGTAGTGTTTCCTAATCCATAAAATATAGTGTTTCATCCTTTTCTCAATTCTTCTTTAATTTCAACGATTTTCCAGTGCGCAAAGTTAAAACTGTGACTTCTCTAATGACGAAGAATTAAAAAACGTATTTGAAGCAATTTTTACATACTTTTATGATATTTTTACAATTTTACTGTTATGATTACTTGAATAATAATTGTAATCTTCGATAAATTCTGAATCAGAATTTTAGAATAACAATCTGCAGTAAATATTTCAGTTGCCTATTGCTCTTATCGTAGCTGATAGAAAAAAAATTAAAAATAGAAAATAAATTTTAGCAGATTTTTAAACTTATTATGAATTTAAAATTTAAAATAATCGATGTAAGTGCATTTAAAATCGTAATCTATAAGCGGTTCGAGTTTGACAGGTGAAAAAATGTGCAACAAAACAAATGAATAAATTTCGTGGAAAAAGAATACTGTCGGAATTCGAACTGGGTCACGGTTAAGTTTCGAGACATTCAACATTCGTCAGACATACGAGCTGCGAATACTTACCTTCGCCGTGGTGTCAGCAGCTGGTTGAAGGGCAGTTGGACAGATGGAGAAGGACTGATCGTGTCCCGGGGATCATGGGAGATAAGCGGAATGAGTTTAGTGCCGGGAAGTGCCCTCATTATCACACCAGTCAATCTTTTAATCTCGCCGCGTACGTTAAAATACACGTCATCACGTATGTACGTATATACAGTCACACATTCGTACTTAACATTCCGATTCTGACCGAAGTTTCGCAACGATCAATTAATTTTTGCGCACGTAGTAACAAATATTTCCCGGCTGAGAAACAAGCGGCTCTATTTCCGACTGCTTTTTGCAAAATGTTTTGCAATATTATATATAAAAAAGAAACTCAACAAAATTTGTAGTACTTGCCTATGCCTGATCAGTTATAGTTGTCTTTTGGAAATGATCACGATTCGCGAGCGCTTCCTCCTCGAGACTAAAGCTTGTTTTCTTGGGAACGTCTTTGACCTTATGATCATCACACAAGCTAGATCTTTGGAGCCTACTAGAATCAAGCTGCATCTCCGAAGAGTCCGTAAGGTTCCTCTGTCTGTTTCAATAAAATTAAAGTCAATTGAATCGATTCGAATAAATAAAAAAGTATTTCTAAGAAATTTGAATCGAACTTTTTGCTAACATCCACGCTGATATCCACGTCTGATGGTTTCTTTAGATCGCCTCCACGAGTCTTTTCCGTGATCGATCTGGTTTCTTCGGATCTTCTCGAATCTAGCGTTGTCCTCGATGCATTTCGTTGCATTTTCTCCTCGTTCCCATTTTGTTTCCTACTTTTCCCCGAAGATATGTTGATATCTTTTAAAACGCGACTGTAATTGTCTTGATGTTTCGAATTCTCCGCGTGTTCTTCGTTTGTCGTCTAAAAAAAGATATTAAAAATTTGCATGTTTTTATTATCATTATTAATATTATATATTTACAAAAATAATGAGATTAATTATTATACAAATTATTAGATGTACAATAAGTCTGCTTAGAACGGTAGCGGTATTTCATTTGTCTCACAAAACTTTTCGACAAATTTTAAAATATTATGAAAAAATTTTATCACTATCTCTAAAACTTCGTATAGCATATAATGGAGATAGTTTAAATACGTCGCGTGTCTTTCTATTTATTCCATTTCCACTATCTTTCTACGTATATATATTCAATTTCATATTTAATCATTTTAATCATTTAATCACCGCATTTTGCGCGTAGAAAGATGACTGAGACACATCGGAATGCATGTTGACGCTCTCTCGTCTACAGGAACCATCTGGTCCGATGATCATCACTGGAATTGGGTTTGGAGGAGTTATCGGTATTTCCGGCATTTGCATGTGCAATCCACCGATCGAAGAACCCAAACTCGATCCAGAAGTAATCGTTAAGGAACTGCTACTCGATGCTTCGCGATAGCCCGCAAATCCACTCGAATTAGGACGATCTAAAAACGTCGATTAATGATAATTATAATAATTATTAATAATAATAATATTCAATTACTAAAATAAAATGTACGCGAGTACATAAGATAAAAACTTTGTTTTTGTGTTTTGCTTAATTATAAAAAAATGAGAGAAAAATTACAGATAAAAAATTAAATTTTTAAAAAATTACATTAGAATAAAATTTAAAAAATAAAAAAGAGATATAAGAAACGTATAATCTGCTAATAACAAGAAATAATAAATTTTTACCAGCTTTCGCACGATGAATCTCTCGAATGCGATCGAGATCGGCGGCGGAGCAAAGTGGAGTATCCACTTCATAAGTGTTGTTGAAGAGAGTATAATTGACCTCGTATTCGCCGGTTTCCTTTCGGAAGGTGATGATAGGTTGGAATCGGTGACCCCAAAGAATCTCCGACGGCAAGTACGAGCTTCTCGCCTGCGTCGTCATGCCGGTAGATTCGATTATCCCTATCGATATTAATGATTATTATTGCATCAGATTAAATATACATATTTTGTATAACGTTTCAATCTATCGTTAAAACATGATAATACTCTTTTACCTTCCAATATCACGACAATTTCGAAGCGTTCTCGCAACATATCGTTGGCTGATATCCTATAAAGCGGCGAGTGCCGGTCGATTTTGTGAACGATCGTAGTGGGCCAGATAAAAAAGATCTTGTCCTCCTCCCCGTCACTTCCTAACTTCAATTCGGTCTGGAAGAACGGCAATAATTCACCCTCCTTCGTAATCTGAAACAGCACACACATTTAACAAAACGTGGCAAGAAAAACGTGCGCAATTAATCTCTGTTTCACATTCGACGAAAATAAAGGGTAGCAAGATTATATTCAACCTTTCTTTTGATCATTTGAGCGCGAACGTGGGCCTCGATAATGTGGCTTTTGCGCATATCGCCGACGCGGAACATGAGACAGGGCTGGCCGTCACGTTGACAGATAACAGCGTTGCGCGAGAAGAGCAGGGTCTGCGTGCGCTTCTTGGGGCGCGACAGTTTAGCGAAGACGATGCCGACCATGAAGGCTTGCAGGATCACCCCGGTCATTGACTGGATGCACAATGTGAAAATCGCCTCCGGGCACACGTCTGTTATATGCTTTGATCCGTATCTGCAAATAAAAAAAAACATGAGAAAATAGAAAGCGATGAAAGAAAAAGGAAGCAAGAAAAATATCAAATAAACGTAATAGAAATTTATATTAATAATAATGAAACTTAACAATGATATAATTGTGATTGTTTACCCGATCGTATGTTGCGTCTCGACGGAGAAAAGAAAGCAGCTGGCAAAACTGCGAATATCCATGACGCAGGGGACGAATGTTTCATTGTTATAATTCTGAGGAACAAGATCGCCGTGGCTGTACGCGATCAGCCACCACACGAGCGCAAATCCTAGCCAAGATAACAGAAAATTCATGGAGAACACCAAGAGTGTCCATCGCCATTGTGCGTCCACGAGCGTTGTAAAGATGTCCTGCAAACAAATCAGATAATTGTCAGTTAATTGTGCAATTCTTATTACAACGAGTATAACAAAAATGGCATCCCTGGTGAAAAAATATCTCATAATTTCCTAGAAAATTTTAAGAATTTTTTATAATTTTATTTTATGAAAAATTCTGAGAAAAAATTTCTTATTTATTCATATTTTTAAAACATTTTTTAGAAAATTATAAGAAATCTCAGAATAAGATAATATTTCATTTAACGGTACAAATTAACGCAAGTATATATTTCTATTCTATCTTTTTCATTGGATGTCAAACACAGAATAAAACATGTATTAACATGTATGTTAACGTGACATTCTATGTTCGATATCTACTAGAAAATAAATATAGAATGACACGTTTTTACATTGCTAAATGAAATGCATTCAAAGATAAGGTAGAAAAATAAAAGCTGATAAATCGTATATTTTTCAACTTGTAAAAATATTTGATATTTCTAAAGGCTTGTGTCCACGATGCAAGAAATTGGTCCAAGTTCTTGGTCCGAGAAATGTATAGCCAATTAAATTGAAGTTCTTATGGAAAAACAGCAAGTTGATTGGTTACACATTTCTTGAAGCAATCCAACCATTTTGGGCCAAGAACTCGAACCAATTTCTTGCATCGTGGACACGGGCTTTAATATATAAAGATCTGGAAAATATGAGAAATAATGAATTTATTCATATATTTTCATATATTTTCATTTATTTTCTGAACTTTCCTGAAAAGTGTGCCAATTCATATAAAAAATCTTAAAATTTTCTGAAAAAGTTATAAAATTTTTGTAAAAAATCTGAAAATTTTTATGAAAAATTCTGAGAATATTTTTCACCAGGGATATCTGTGAGATTGAAAAATAATTGAATACATTAAGAGATTTAAAAATATTTTCTGCTTTTTTTTTAAGTTTGTCATTCTATTAACGTGCATTTATGGTAGCTGTTTGGCACAATCGATTATTTCAGCTATAATTAATCTTTTTAGTAATTGTTGTGTTAATTTATTGGTTATATAAATGACTGGAATTGTCTGAAATATGTGATTCATAAAATAAGTTAGAAAATATTAAAATTTCTGAATGCTTTGTAGTCATCTTTTGCATATCGTTTATTCGTTTCATTGCCAATACAATAGTGTAAAAAAGTTTTACCTGGAGATATCGTCGACGTCGTTTGGCGACGTTTCCCTGCACAATGTTACAGTCACCATGCTTAAAAACGACCCTTTTGCGAACTCTTCTGGAACTAAATCTGGTTTGGCGGTACCTCGAAAAAGAAATTGATTTGTTTAATTTCTAGGCTGTTCGTAATGTAATCATCCCGATTGGGATTACAAATAAATAACGTTTTTACTGGATTTGCCAAGAAAAATAATTTTCAACAATTTTGCACAACAATTTCAGTTAGTGAAACGACGACTGTTTACAGATACTGTTACATAATCTTGTTGTCTCACGGAAATCTGTAGATCAAAGTCGCTTTGAAAATTCAAAGCTAGAGCTTTCAGCGACGACGCCTACTGAAAAGTTTCATCCTTTTGAATCCGCGGAAATCTATTTATCACTCTGTATTTATTATTTATCTATTATACAAAATATTAAATAAATTTTTTTAATAAATAATACAATAAATAAATAAAAATACATGTGATATGATATATAAAAATTGGAGTACAAATAATTCAATAATTATTTCGCAAAATAATAACCTTTTGCGAGTGGCGTAAAAATGCAGACAGACATGAACAAATATATTTCAATAGCGTTCGCAAATATTTGCAACGCCAAAAAGCGCGCGTGTAAACTTGTCGTCGATCTATTTGCGTCATAGGTCAATATGTCAGGGTTGAGAGTCACACGAAATCATGCGAATTTAGAACGCCAGACGACGACGTGTAGTTCAAAAGTGGGCGGGCAATTAATTCAAAGTCTTGCCGAGATTTTGGAAACAGTTCCTCAGCGATCTCGCATTGCTGTATTTTCTGTGAGATAAAATTATGTTGCGTGGGAGAAATGAGATGAGATGAATGAGACGAGTATCTGATTTGTCTTATTTTTTAAAAACTTGTATAAGAATATGCGATGTTAAAAATTAAATCGTGTAACAATTAATGTTTCCGTTGATAATAAAAGGAAAATACTAAATGTAAAGACTTGTAGTTGGAAATGCAAACTGAATTCCGCTTGTCGAGATGATCTTTCAGCGAAAATAGTTCTCCGCGTTTATGTTATTAAGTTTATGGCTGCTAGTTGCCACAATCGCAGACACTTTCTCATTTCAACTACATGTGGGCGTATATTTTTAAACTTCAAATACATGTTGCCAAACTTTAGGTATTTCCATTTAAAAAATATAGGCTTTATATATGTAAATTTATAAATCCCGCATTAATTTGGCTGAAAGCAGAATAATATTACCATTACGTACATCCGGTATGACGCCGGTTTTGTATCTTTTCATTTCATATATAGATTGATCTACTACTTTCAAGGATTGTTGCTGACTGAAAATTCTCGTTCAGGAAGATTCTATTTCAAATTAAAGAGATTAAGAGACAATTTGCCGATAAACACAGAGATGTTCTATATGAATAATTAATAAAAGGATAACAATCAACACACAGTATAATCTGTACGATTTGCAAATCGAAAGGGAAAAAGGCCTGTTGGGGAGCGATTACTTGAGCAGCTCTTCGCGCCAGGCCGCTTCACCGGAAGTCGTTGCTTTGACGACCATCATAGACACTTGCGAAATTGCTCGTCGCAGCCCCGATAGCCTGCCCATTTCACTCAGATGGTGGTGATTCCTTTCAGCATCCGACATACGTCGTCGATTCAACATTGCTTTCATCTTTCTCGATTAGCGCGAGATCATTTATTGTCACTCATTTGCGATTATTTCCGGTTTTTGCAGCGCAAAAGTAAAAAAAAAAGTCAGTTTATTTATCCAGATAGAAAGGTATAATTTCTATTAAACAACGAAAATACATTTTATTATAAATATATATAAAAATAGGAAAGTTGCGGGGCAAATCGTAATTTCTTTCGACATTCTCGTTGAAATCGAAACTAGAAACTAGGAATCGGAGAATCTATTATTAAAATATAGATTATGCGAGTGTAGTAAGGACACGTGTAATTTGTACACGTATGTGTATATATATATAGAAAAAATGCACTTTATGCAATAGCGATGGATAACGTGAAGTCCATATTCTCAGTTCAACTTATATTTCTTCGCAACTTTGCAACTAAACTGATCACCATAAACGAATAGACACGGCTAATTAAAACTGCTCATTAACGAACCGAGGCTGGCCGAACACTGCGAATACAATTTCGGCTTCTTGGCGGGCCAGAACAACTTCCCTTTGTCTTTGGCACGAGCTGAATCCGTTGAACCGTTGCGAAGAGGGGGTCATCGATAACGCTAAATTTTCTGCTTATATTATCAATAAAGATAAATAATTAAGAAAAACATCTTTATGCATTATCATGAAATAAGATTTTTGTCGACCATACGAGAATATTTCTCAATATAGTTAACGTTATGTATATAGAATATTCAGATTTAAAAAAAACTTTTTGATATTCAAGAGATATTCGAGACACGCAAAATACGCGAGCCTCTGCTAGATACTTTTATTTTCGTCCAAGAAATAAAAAAAGAGAAAGTGATGCTGAATAAATTTTATCCAACAGATATTTTTAAATTAAATATTTGCATAAATTTCTGTTTCTTCTTCCAAGTATATTTTTCACATTTCTTTCAAATCTTTGTTTCTTCCAGAAGACAATACTAAGATTTTCTATTCTTAAGCTTTATTTGCTGATCAAATATTGTACGTATTTTCAGTATTTTTGAGTATTTTGCAATACTCATATCTAAAGTTAACATCACGTTAATCATATTAAAAAATACGGAGCTAAACTTTTTCTACTTTTATGCGACAAGTTTATTTTTGTCATTATAAATTAGATTTCCGCAATTGTCGGCGACGAAATAACAGCGACGTGTCGCTATTTTTGGAGAGACATAAAAGCGCACATTTGTGATTCGGATTTTATATCGTTCTGCCTATTTTAGTTGCGTCGCTACTAAATAATAACCTTGAGCATATAATCTGTTTAATAAGCATTCAAACAGTCATCCAAACAGCCGTACAAAGATGCTCGATTTTAATACGTGTTTCTTCAGATATCTTAACGTTATAATTTTCTTGCTAGCTATTCTTTTCATTCAGTTTATACACTTTTTATGTTTATAAATTACTATTATAAAATAGTAATATAGTATAATGTTATAATGGCCACGGAGCGTGTATTGTTTTTCGCGTGTATTGTTTTTCGTTTAAAGAACTGTTTTAACGAACAAAGCAGTTTAAATAATGCGTGACGAAGCCCTCGCATTATCGTATGCGGAAACGATAAGCGTTTTTCTATCAGCATTATGCAATGCATGCATATTTGTACAAGGTTGTGACGATTGCTACTAAGACATAATACGAACATTGGAACTCATAAAAATGTCATTTATGCTCAACGAAAATTAAATTATTTTACTGCAATAATTAAATTGAATTTTTTCACTAATTACAAATGTCATAAATTTGTTATTTTTTATATAAATTACAAAAATTGAATTGTATTGAGTATTAAATCAAATTAAAAAAATATTAAATAAATAAAAAAATCAGTACTAGATGCAATAAATATTAATTTTAATATCGCAAAGTTTTTATTTTAGATATAAACACCAAAGTATTCTTATTATTGTATCGATATTTTCATTAGTTAACAGTAGAAATTGTTTTTTTTAAATATTTATTGCCTCTTTGCTTTTGATTTGTAAACTCCAATAATGTCATAAACACAAAGTAATAACTATAAGTATAACTATAAAATTTGGTGTAAACCATAGTTTTTTCGCTAGTGTCATTCATCAATTAATTATAGTGTAGATTATTTAATACAAGAAAGAAAAGTTTAAATTCTTTTAAAATCTGAATGGCAAACAAGAGTAATTTAATATTTATATCTCATAAACTCACATACGTACACGTGCTGGCGCAGCATTTGCACATGTCACCGCAACTAGTAAAAATAGTATTCGCAATAAAATTTCTTTGTTAGTTGTTTACTTACAGACGCCAGCAGCTGAGAGGAGTCATTGTTTATTTATCATCAATCATTTATCATCAGCTATTGTTTTATGAAATAATGTCCTTTGAAGTCTAAACAGTGCAAGTAGAATCAACCAACTGAATAGTGGCTACTATGTTTACGCTCCCATTAGAACATCTTCGCGATAAGCCAAAGCGAGTTCGAATTACAATGACAACTCATTATAATTGTTACTTTACTCACCTGTTATTATAGTTGTTCGTTTATCAATATCGGTAATTTAGTGACGTAAGATATAATACTTTTACAAAAAAAAAGAGGAGAAAAATTGCCTAAGAATATAAGAGAGCTAAAGATACTCATAAGACTCTCTTCTCTTTTCTGAAACTTTTGGTATGTGAAATTTCACATACAAAAATCTGATAATAAATGCGTCGCCAGATTAGGCTTTTATTAGATTCATTTTTAAATTGCGGAATTTCTCACCTACTTAATAAAGGGCCCGACTCGCCCTTGAAGCTGATTCTGCTGAAGGCTCTCCTTTTGAACGTGCTTAGAATGTCCCGCTTTTTCTGATCGATGATTTCACCTGTTTCTTCCGCAGAGTCATCGCCGCATACCTTTACTGCAACTTCGGCTGTCGGCGTCGACGTGTGCATCAATAACTCGTCCAGGGGTGCAGTTGCTGGCTCTATGATAGTCGAGGGTTCATCCTCATGATCTTCATGGAATATTCTTTCTTTTCTTATCACTCTCATCTTAATCCTCTTCTACTAATAATTATTGTCCTATTTTTAAGATATTAATTAATCAGATTATTGCTATTTTATCGCCATAAGATTTTGCAGATTAATAATTTAAGAAAATATCGTAGTTTTTTAACCGATTATTTAAAGCTTGCTTTATTATCGTCAGAAAATAGAAATTATTTTACTATTTTCAATTCCTATATTATTCCTATATAAATAAGTTTTAACAATTTAAACTTACTTATAAATTAATTTGGATATATTAATTATCTTTTAATTTTGTTCTCAATTTTGATATCTTAAAGAACCATTCTTATTCACGAATGTAATTTATAAAGAAAATCCGAACACGTAGTGTTTAACAGAGAAAATGTCGAGAAAGACGTCATTCTGCACATTAAGATTTATCTGTTTAGGCATTAATGGTAAATTTATTTGACTATTTCAAGAATCATAAACATTTTCTCATAGATTTAAAATGCGTGATTTATATGTTCTTGCGAATGATCGTATTTTGTTCGAGAGTACCTGTTGCTCGCGTATTTAGACAAGCCTGACATTCAATTTATTATTTTGACTCTGTTTTTATTTCTATGATTTTATTCTATATTCGAACATTTGATAATACTTTTATATAACTTTTATATTATATCATAAAATATAATATTTGGATATTTAGAAGAAAATATTCGATTCTTTTCTGAATTTTTATTTCTAATATGTTTATATCAATTTTTTATTTTTAAATTAAAAAAAATTGGAAGTAATTCTTCTTTTTAACTCACTTAACATGGTGATTTTTATTATGCATCACACAATAATGAATTCTTTTACAAGTTCGAGTGATCATCTTATCAGTTTCATTTTATCACCATGCATTTCACAATTGCTTTTATCACTCACAAATTCACTCGACACATCGTCATCGATAGTATTTAACTTTAACTTTTAATTCGGGATTCAATCACAACATGCAATATACGTATATTATAAAGGTCTACGGCAAGGATCGATCTATAGATCGCTCGGAATCGACGTCCGTCATTTTGCGCGCTCGACCAAGGTTCTGTCGAGATTGCGGCAACGCGTGATCGCCGCGAGAATCGTCGAGCGAAAATAAATCGTCGAGAGTGCGCGTGGGCGAGCGTGAGCGTGAACATGGTAAGCGCGTGCAAATGAACCACGAAAGAAGGACGTGACGTAGTGCATAATTAGTTGCGCGGGGCAGATAAGATTGAACCGCGGTTTTGTCAATTACTTTGAAAACCTGAGCGCAGCAATAGATTGATAGTTAACGCTTTATGAAATCCGAGCGCTAAAGACTTTAGTAGTTAAAGTGTCAATTAAAGAAAAAAAAAAATAATAAGTCATTGCGCAACTTTTACGCGGAAAACTGAACCAGCAAAGATGTGTCACGCTTCGTGAGAAATGCAATAATTTCTTTATTGACTCACGTTTAACATCACTATTCGTATTATTTTGTTTTATAATATTAGAAGTTATAGTATTTAAAAGTTGCAAGTTGAGAACTAATAATTGTTAATTCATAATTAAAATTTGGAGATTACGATTCAAGAGACGAGATTTCTTGAAAGATCCTATTTAAAAAATAGAGGCTTGTCTTTCTTTATCTTTCTGGAGTTTTTGTAATATCTTATAAATCGTTTATTATATATTCAATCATCAAGTTGTAGTTAGATGTAATTAGTTCGTTTTTTAGTTCAACGATTTTTTACTTCTCCTTTGCTTAGTTTATTTCATTTTCTGTATTTATATGTCGTGCATTCGTTTGATATTTTTCATAGACTTTGTACTGTAACTCTTATTGATACGATTAATCGTAAAAAACAGGTGTGGTCAAATAGCCCGGAGAATTAAATTTAAATTGCAAAGAAGCGAAAGAGCGATGGAAGACCGACTATTCTCGTACGTATCTATTTCGGTCCTCGTTTGGAAAGCACTCAAAAATGAACAACGTTTCTCATACAAAGTGCACGAACGCAATAATATTTACGCAATAATATTTATAAAATAATTGAAACTGAATAGTGTGTAGTCAAGTAGCACTTGTTCCATAAATTATTTCCCCATCATACACATTTAATAACAATATAATCCTTTTTATAATATAAACAGGTATTTTATCCAACAACTGCACATTTTTTGACCCATAAATTCGTAGGCCAACATAGAGTTTGAATCTGAGAATGTAGCAGGTGGATTCTTTTTACCGAAGGACTATCTTATTTTTCGCTAATATTATAATTCACAAAGATTTGTTAGGTTTAGTTTATCAATTTTCGGCACCTTAATTCCATCGTGAGAAATGCTCTCATGTTAGGATCCTGCACCCTCTCCAAGATTGCCTTCTGCAGATCTACGTCAGACGCTTCCAATGCGCTGCTCAATCGTTCCGCGTATTGAATCCATACGCAATTCGCACACCCCGACATGCAGCAGTTTGTCGGCTCCGCCAAATCATCGACCGAAGCTTCTCTCTCTTTTGCGTCATCGGTTCCACCTTTGTCGTCTTTTTGTGCCGATAAATTCCGCCGATAGCAACGTAGACCTTCTGCAACGAATAGTCTCGATCGAAGTGCGAGATGCATCTGTTTTAAGTCTGGGCAAGCCGCATACTACCTAGACAGCATGAAATACCTGGTTGTTTCAATAATATTCGGATGATCCATAGGGAATGTGTAGCTGATATAAAACAATTAAATGGTTTTATCAATTTCTGTCACTGTTTTGGATGATGTTTGAATAAATTAGACGAAAGGTCTTATCTAACCTTGTTGCAGCCGTCAGAAGTTCGTGATCAAGTGATGATGCGCTTTATAGAGCTCAGTACTGCCAACACTGATATTCAACAATTCCTTTGATTTCATACAAAATGAGTAAAATAAAAAATTGTTTAAAAAAACGTCGTTTGTACTTTATTGTTTTATTATTACAAAATGTTACAAAAAAATGGGAGAAATAGTTTAACACGTTAAAATATATTACATACTTATAAATTATAAAATTTAGTCATAATTCATAAAAACTTACACACATTTATCCAAATCTTGACAGTTGTACATATTTTTAATCGGAATCAATTTTTTGCAATGCATAATGTATATCATCCTTTGATATATTTAACATAATCCTTTGATATATGTCGTTACCTGAATATTCGCATATTAATAATCTGTAATCACCTAATTTTGTACAAATATCAAATGTCTGAGTGATATTAGGCTTTTCAAGACCTAAAAAAATCAAATTTAAATTACAATAATGTAAAATTTTTTGTATACATTAATGAAGTTTTCTGTACAAACCATCAAAAGAACATAAAGATTCAAACTGCTTATAAACGTTTGTGAAGCAAACTTCTTCAACACCAGTTCGTGTGACTTCTGCATGTACAGCTTGTAGGAATATTTGCTCAAACCTTGAACAATATCTTATCGCCTGAACTTTTGAATTTGCTATCATTTCTGACAAAGTTTCGTTCACATCTTGCATGGTTACTGTGGCACCGTTTCGTCTTTCAGTAATTTCTGTTGCTCGACGACAAATTTCCAAAGCGCGACGAGCATCACCCGATACCGCGGATACTTTCCTAATATACAGATTCAACATATTATTCTTAAAATATTTAAGTATAATCTTATAGGTTTAAGTATAAATCTTATAGATGAAACAAAACATCAAAATAAATCAAAGGAATATAAAAACTGAATATCATGCTTACCGTGCGATCAATTGTATAGCTTCACTTTTGAAACTATTTGTATCTTTAAGTCTAGTTAATACTATCTCTTGTAATTGTTTATGATTATATGGTTGAAAAGTTATTCGGGTAAGACCTAATCGCGATGTGACTCTACTCATAAAAACTCTCTCTGGGAGATCCATAGTATTGGCAATAGTAATGACTACTAATTGAGCAGAGGCCTTTGTAGGCCAGTCCAATAAATTATATATTACATCTTGTCGTTTTGTACATAATAAATCAAGCTATAAAATGCAAATAAAAAAAATAATAAAAATTAGTGCGATAAAAACAAATAATAAATAATAAAATAATCTAAAAAATCAAATTAATCTAAGAAACATAACAGAATAAATGATATACATGTAATAAATATATACCTCATCTACTAGTAGTAATGTCATTGGCCTCTTTTTAGCATTGCTATTAAATCTCTTTTCTAACGCATTATGCGCCTGCTCCCATGTTAGAACTTTTCCGGATAATTGTTTTAGAATATGCACATAGGCTTGTCTGGGCTCAGATAATTTCATACCGTTTATGTTGACAAAATCGAAATCCTTTAATTTACCCTTTTCCACAGATCTCTTCAGACATTTTATAACTTCGTTTACAGTAGCAGTTTTACCTGTGCCTGGGACTCCACTTATATAGATACATCTGTAATAATAATCGTATATTTTAGCATGTCTAAGGAAATAAAAAAACAGTGTTCATTAATGCAAAAACTTACCCTCCACTTTTATCTATTAGTTTGCCTTCTAAGAATGTGTAGATATTATTAAATTCTTCTTCTCTACAAGGCAGTGATTTAGGCACTGCACTGACATGTAGCCTGCTTCTGGCTTCCTGTAATGGTGTAGCTGGTTTCACTAGGGCTTCAGTTCTCATTTTCATAGATGGTGTCAAAGTGCTGTGTTTCAATGATGTACGATGAGACTTTGGAGTACTCAAACCATTCTGTATTACTAACGATTCTGTAGTATTTTTTACATTCTTGTTTGTTTGTTTAGTTTTTATTGATAAGTCTTTAGTAACTTCACATATAGCATCTACTTCATTAACTTTAGTCTTACTTTCATCTTTGTATGTTGTTGATTCACTTTTATTAGGTGTAATTAAAATACTTCTATGCCTCTTTTCAATCCTTGGTCTTCTTTTAGGCGTACTATCAAGTGGAACATGCTGTGCTACATCCACTTTAGAATTTGTTGTTTTTTTATTAACTAGTACATTGTCTTTTTTAAATTCTTCGTCTACAGATATATGTTTAAGAGATTTAGTTCTTCGAATAATCTTGGAAGTAGCATTATCATTAATATCTTCTACAGAAGAAACATTTCGTTTATTACCTTTTAATCTTTTAGAATGTGTACTTGGATTAGAACCAATAATAATACCATCTGAATCACTACTAAAATTATCATTCTTAACTTTAAGTTTAGTGGCTTCCTCTTCTCTTTCATTAATATCCAAAGAAGCCAACAGTAATGTCTTTTCATTATAATTAATGTGTTCTCTTTGTAAAATAGACGTTTGTGATTTAGGAGAAAAGCACTCGTACTCTGAGTATCGTTTAGGTACCTTTATAATCCTTCTACCTTTACGTGGCATCTGATTTTCATCTTGCACACTTTTTACATATTTTACATTTCTAGTTGATCTCCTTGGTCTGGTTGGTTTTTCATCTTCTGATTCGGTATCTATTTTATATGCGCTTTGTTCTGTAGAACGTCTCAATTTGAGCCGTAGAGATACTTGTTCCTTTCGTGATTTATTTATTCGCGATAATAAACTTTTGTTACTATCAAATACTGCTTCAGAATTTGAAGAATCAAAATTATCTCTGTTTTCTCTTGATACATAACTTTTTCTGTCAATTATTGCTTCAGAACTCGAAGAATCAGAAAAATTGTTATTACTAGTTTTTCTTGGTTCATAAGATTCATCTAATTCATTTACCTCAGAATCTGAATTTGTTTCAAGTAACATGGATATATCCTTTTCCGTGTATTTTTTAAATTTAGACATTGTATTTGAGTTGCAATTGAGTTCAGCAATAAATTTCAGTCTTGTCTTTCTTTAAAAAACTATTTCAGAGTCGGATCTATGTAATAAATTTTTGTTAATAAATTTCAATATTTGAGATAAAAACATGTGTTTAATCGGTCAATATTATATATATATTTATATTAAAATTGATTTTACTTCATAAATTGTATTTATCATAAACATGAGTTATAATTACCCTAATAATTAATCACAGAAATGTTGTGTGTGTGCTATCACAAATCTTTTCCGACCTTTTCAGATTCTTCCCGCTCATTTTCAGGTTATGTATCTTGTTTCCTACCGCCATATGTTTTATGTGGCATTTACATTACATCTGCTTTCAACGCATGCCAATATGTTAAGGTTAAAATCTCTAGAAAGACTATTTTTTGTATTGGATGTTGAATTAGAGTGGACATGCAATATAAAGCTTGCATAAGAAAATATAAAATTGCAATTTTTTCTTTGTTATACGTATTGTCAATGGGCAGCATTTTTTTACTCCAGGAACCTCCGTTAGAGGCATCACCATTTTCCCTCCGCTACTTATTCACTATCATGGTGTAAAGAATATAAGGTGAAGCATTCCGATGAATGCGCAGTGGTTCAAAAGTAGTGGGGAACAGCGAACCAATCAAATATGCCCGGTGATGCAAAATTCAATATGGCCGGCGCACGATAGAATCAGTTACATAGTTTTGACAATGATTGACATCGGTGGCTATCACTTGTGTGCATGTGTGAATATTACTTGTGAAGTTTTGACAAGTCGACGACAAATTTTCAACCATGCCAAGTTGTTTCGTGAGAAATTGTAAAAATCGGACAAATTATATATTCAGCAAAAAAGTGAGATATTACTCGTTTCCTCAAGATCCTGAGCTGCGAAGAAAATGGTTACAGGCTTGCCAGAGGGATGAAAATTCAAAGATTACATGTGGTTAGTAAATATTACATTGCATTTACATTTTTCATATTAATAAACATATAATAATTGTATTGTTTAAATATATTATTTTTAAATAACTTACTACATTTTATAATTGGCGCGTTTCCTCATCGGGCAAATTTGATTGGTTGAAATTTGAAGTCGCCGCCATATGCGCAATACTTCACCTTACATTCTTTACACCATGTTCACTATAGTATGCGTTTGTATCTGCTAGTGTCAACGTGCAGTGGTTATTGTAGTTTGTAATAGACGCTACGGGCTGTTACGGACATAATGTCGGATTCAGAAGGTAATAATTGTTTAAACAAAACTATAAATAATACATAAGTGATGTTAAAATGCGTGGTGTAATTCATACAGGTGCCAGCGATGCGGGAAGCGCTGGAGGAAGGTCTCGGAGTGTCTCTCGCAGTAGAAGTCCTTCTCGAAGCTCGGGATCTAGAAGTATATCTAGGTCTCGATCACGTTCCCGATCACCATCTGGGTGAGTCCAAGTTTTGTGTTTTGAATTGTGTCTGCGTAACATATGTAGAGTTCATTAAAATATAGCTACATAAATAAGTAACAGTTGAAATTTTATCTTATTTCATGTGCTACATGCTTTGAAAATTATTGATTGCTCTGAGATTTTTCAATATTTTTCTCGATAAAATAAAAAATAGTTTTATGCAAGAATTTTGTATGAATTAAAAGTGAAATATTTTATTATAGATACTCGTTTATATGAGAAAATATTTTTTAATTTTACATGTACGAAATTCCTTTATCTTATCTTAAATATTATATATGTTATATGTATGCAATGTTGATTTTATTTGTAGCTCTGAAAAGGCAGACGAGGCAGAAGAAGTCAGGTCGGGAGATGAAGAAGCTGTGGAACCAGAAGAGGAACCTGAAGGTATAAATCAGAAGATTTCTAATCTAGAGTAAAGTTCAAATTGCATTCTCGCATTCTGATAAGCTTTTTAATAATTTTTTTTATGTATTTAATGTTTATAGGAGAAGACTTGGATAATAGCAGTGAATATGATGAGGAAGAAGAGGAAGATGATGACAGACCAAGAAAGAAAAAGAAGAAAGATAGATTTGGTGGCTTTATTATAGATGAAGCTGAAGTAGACGATGAAGTCGAAGATGATGATGAATGGGAGGAAGGTGCCCAAGAAATTGGTATTGTAGGAAATGAAGTGGATGAATTAGGACCAACTGCGCGTGAAATTGAAGGACGACGTAGGGGTACAAATCTCTGGGAGTGAGTATTGAAGTTTGCGAGATATTACAACTTTATATATTTTATTAGTATTTAAAAACAATCACATTTTTAATGAACCAACTGTCCACTAGTTCGCAGAAAGAAGACGAAATTGAAGAGTATCTGAGGAAAAAATATGCTGATGAATCAATCGCTGCTCGTCATTTCGGTGATGGCGGTGAAGAAATGAGTGATGAAATTACTCAGCAAACGCTATTGCCTGGTGTGAAAGATCCTAATTTGTGGATGGTGAAGTGTCGCATAGGAGAAGAAAAAGCCACTGTACTCTTATTGATGCGAAAATTTATCACATATCAATTTTCGAGTAAGATGAATTTTGAAGAAGTCACGTCACATCTTGCCGCATGTTTCTAAATGTTCCTTTGTTTTTGAATATTTCAGCTGAACCTCTGCAGATAAAATCTGTCGTGGCGCCTGAAGGTGTTAAGGGTTACATTTACATAGAGGCTTATAAGCAGCCGCATGTGAAAGCTGCTATCGAAAATGTCGGAAATCTCAGAATGGGTATATGGAAGCAACAAATGGTGCCGATTAAAGAGATGACGGATGTGCTACGAGTAGTTAAAGAGCAGACTGGTTTGAAAGCCAAGCAGTGGGTCCGTTTAAAACGAGGCATTTACAAAGATGACATAGCTCAGGTCGATTATGTTGATTTGGCGCAAAATCAAGTGCACTTGAAATTACTGCCGAGAATCGATTACACTAGACCACGCGGTGCTTTAAGAACAGCACAGAGCGAATCCGAAGCATTGAAACGCAAGAAGAAAAGACGACCAGTGGCCAAGCCATTTGATCCTGAAGCGATCCGCGCTATCGGTGGAGAGGTCACCAGCGACGGAGATTTCCTTATTTTCGAAGGAAATCGATACAGTCGTAAAGGGTTTGTTTCACTAAACATTACTGTGTGTTATGTTTTTGTATAATTTTATTATTAATCATTTCTTACTTTACGCAGCTTTCTTTATAAGAATTTTACCACAAGTGCTATTATCGCGGAAGGTGTCAAGCCCACACTTTCCGAATTAGAGAAATTTGAAGAAGCGCCAGAAGGTGTTGAGATAGATGTAAGTGGTACGCCAGTAACTGGAACTTCCGGAAAAGAAGATCAAGCTGTAGCCCATTCCTTTAGCAACGGAGATAATGTGGAAGTGTGCGAGGGAGAATTGATTAATCTGCAAGGAAAAATTGTTTCCATAGATGGAAACATGATTATGGTTATGCCAAAGCACGAAGATCTAAAAGAAGCCTTGGAATTCCAAGCTTCGGAGTTACGAAAATACTTTACACAGGGCGACCACGTTAAGGTAAGATCTGCAATATCAATTGTGCATTTTATTAAAAAGAGGATTTCTTTTTCACAATATTACAGTACGGCTTTAACTGATCCACAGGTCGTAGCAGGAAGATACGAAGGTGACACGGGTTTAATTGTCAGAGTGGAGCAAAATAGAGTAGTCTTGTTTTCTGATTTATCGATGCACGAACTTGAGGTACTTCCAAGGGATCTACAATTGTGCTCTGACATGGCGACCGGTGTTGACAGCCTAGGACAATTCCAGTGGGGCGATTTGGTGCAGCTTGATACACAAACAGTCGGTGTAATCGTGCGATTGGAACGCGAGAATTTCCACGTGCTCTCCATGCACGGAAAAGTGGTCGAGGCCAGACCACAAGGTCTCACGAAGCGCCGAGAAAATAGGAATGCGGTCGCTTTAGACTCGCAACAGAACACGATACAGAAGAAGGACATCGTGAAAGTGGTCGATGGGCCGCATGCAGGTCGAGGTGGCGAGATTAAACATCTATACAGGAGCTTTGCTTTCCTACACTCGCGAATGTTTGTCGACAACGGTGGAATATTCGTATGCAAAACCAGACATCTACAGCTATCGGGTGGAAATAAGGCAAATTCTATAAATTCTATGTCGCCAGTGGCAGGATTTATGTCACCTAGGATCGCCTCTCCGATACACCCCAGCGGGTTAGTCTTCCTTTCTTTATTCGTTTTACCACTCGATACACTTCCACCATCAAGATTATCTTTACAGAGGCGGTTTTGGACGAGGCGGCGGAGGAGGTGGAAGAGGCAGAGGTCGCGGCGGCGGCGGTGCGAGACGCGACAGGGAATTAATCGGAACCACCATCAAGATAACGGGTGGACCGTACAAGGGAAATGTAGGTATCGTGAAAGACGCGACGGAAACCACGGCGCGCGTGGAGCTGCACTCCACTTGCCAAACGATTTCCGTCGACCGCTCTCATATAGCAAACGTCGGCGTTCCGACGAAGGACGGCGGCTTCAGCAGCTACAACAGGACTCCGGCTTATGGAGCAGGCGGACAGACTCCGATGTACGCTCGGGACGGATCGAAAACACCTATGCATGGTTCCCAAACACCTATGTACGAAAGTGAGTAGTCGTGCTTTACTTATTTATCTTTCTCTTAATGAAACAACTTAACACATTCATACAATTTTTAATATTAATGTTACAGACGGTTCTCGCACTCCTCATTACGGTTCGATGACACCGTCCCACGATGGTTCGCGAACGCCAGGACAATCAGGAGCCTGGGATCCAGCAGTCACGAATACACCCGCCAGGTCAAACGATTTCGATGGCTACAGTATGGAGGAGGGTGGCTCGCCCGGCTACGCGCCCGGATATCCACCCACTGGCGGACCGTTCACTCCACAGACTCCAGGCACCATGTATGGATCGGAACAAAGCTTCAGTTCGTATCAACCTAGTCCTAGTCCCGCGGGCAGCGCCACCGCGAGTCCGAGTCCTGCGGGCTACGTTGCTACTCCATCTCCAAGTGGTACCGGATACACCACCAGTCCACATGGAGCATTCGCAACACCTTCTCCAATGGGTTACAGTCCTATGACACCGGGTAAGCGAACTTGTTTTCGTTGAAATGTCCCTAGTTTAACTCTGCGTCTATCATTTGTTAGACATTCTGGAACATAAATATATATTATGAAGTTCTTGTTTTTTTAGTCCTGCAAGAACATGAAATTTAGAGACTTGGAGATATAGAGTTAACATTATTTGAAGTCTTAGCATAGATATAATTTATAATTTTCATTACAGGTAGTCCATATAATCCGCAAACACCTTGTGGAGGAATAGATACCAGCGCTAGTTCGATAAGCGGCTCAGATTGGCAAACAACAGATATCGAAGTACGCATCCGCGATTCTCATGATGATCCCGCACTTGCTGGACAACAAGCTGTCATTCGTGGAATTTCTGTGAGTGACTTTTTATTATAACGCTCTTATATTAACACATTAAAGTTTTAATCACCACAACGTCGATGATAAACATATATATACACACTCCATTTTCTGATTTCACTCAATTTCTAAAAATAACATGTTTATTTGACAGGGCGGCATGTGCACAGTTTATTTACCTACCGAAGACCGTGTTGTGAATCTTGTGTGCGAGCAATTGGAACCTGTAGTACCATCGCGTGGCGATCGAGTCAAAGTAATTCTAGGAGAAGATCGTGAAGCCGTCGGCACTTTACTTTCAATCGACAATCAAGAGGGTGTGGTGAAACTCAATACGGAGGAGATCAAATTCCTGCAGTTACGATTTTTGTGTAAAATGAAAGCATCTAGTACATAATTTTCCGGTTCGTGCGTGTTTATGTTGTATCAAAATTTTGATATTTAACAAAAGTGAAAATTCTATGTAATTATTGACTCTTTATTTGGCTATCTACTTGAGTTCACATTCTTTGTTAACTTGTAATTTCATAATTGAGAAAGCAAAAAGGTTTAATTTTTTATCATTACGGATATAATTTTAATTAATTTGATAAAATAATTTAGTAGTGTATGTCAATATCGCGAATTATGTATAATATATCATTAGATAATGTAATTACTTATTCATATGTAATTAACATTTGACATTTGACACTACAATGAATAAAAATGTCTTATATATATACCTGAAGTTATTATTTTATTAGCACGAAGTAATGCGCATGATAGAAACGAGGTAGTCGTGACAGAATAATGGGCGCAAGCTGTTACAGGCTTACCAAAGATATTCGAGAAAACCGCGAAGCAAAATCACATGGTTGGAACTCTCTGCTCAGAGTATGAACATATGTTCTTTATGCTTTCTCTTTGTATTTGTAAGCTGCATCTTCAATAAAAGGTTTGCATTTCAGATATGTCACATGATTAATAATTAAATCATCTTACATTTATCAATATTGTATCAACGCATAATATTTAAATAAATAATAAACTTGTTCCTGCTTAAATAAAAAATTAGTTCTTCCTTTTCCTCCCTCTTTCTTTTTCTAAAATTATACTGAAGCAAAATATACTTTTTATGAATTAAAGTTTTCGATGCATTCACTATCCGCTTTGTATTTTTGCGGCAGAATAATCGATGCTAAATCTTTCAAACATGATCAGAATGTCGGTACTGTTTTATTCGAAAAAACTGATTACGGAAAGCAATGCTGGACCAATGAGGAATTTACTGTCCTCAGCAACCGGAGGATATTTCAAGATATTCTGCCCCAGGTGAGTTTAATGGAAATATATTCAGCAACAACTTTCCATCAATATAATCTGTGTTATAAAGTTTGAACGCAATATTTTATTATTTAAAACAATTTTTTTTGAAATTGTACTCTTCAGCATCTATTTTTATAAATTTTTATTTCAATAACATTTAATAAAAGATGATGCCATCTTAATGTTAGGAGCGAATATTCTGTTTGGAGAGAAGTGCACAGGGAAACATTGTAAGATTTTCTCTCTACCAGGTGAAAGTCATCGATTCCCAGAACGATCAGTACATAGCACATCTCATGGACTATTTTCACATATGTCTCGAAAGCGTGCGGAAGCTGTCGGTGGGCAAAACGAAACATCTGATGTTGAAAGCTCTGGCGGATACTCTGGGTGGTTACTTACGGGTCTACATTCTGCCCCTTACGAGACACTCGTATTACGCGGGGAACATCAAGTATCGCAACGTGAGGATGCTGTTCGAGCTTTTCGACGAGCTGAAAATCTTTCTTCGGACGAACGGCGCCGGCTGGTCGAAGCCTCGTCGAAACGCTAACAATGTCAGGATTCCTTCCATCGTAATTACGCCGCCAAAAACTTCAGTCGCGTGTAACGGGCTTATCACTTACTCGGCGCGTAAGTGCGGTTGTTAATTCTTCTAAGAAAATTTTGGACATATATTAATTTATCACGTTTTTCATGGATAAGTAGCTTTCGAACGCGGTGATTATCGAAGCTTCGCGTTCAGAAAAAAGAAACGATCGACGATGATGAAGCGGGGACATTCGAGACGTGCAGTCGACGGTGAGAGCAAAAAAAAAATACTGAATTTTTTAGCGATTTAAATTATTTATTTAATCTAGGCTATAACGAAGCTACAACGAGCGAAGTCATAGTACCACTTCCGTTTCTCGATAACGAAATAGAACCCAACAGGTAGTTATTGAATAGCAATTTGTCAAAATGCTTCGACGTTCAAATAGCTTCAATACAAATTCTCTATCTAGCATCGCGTTGCCCTTCAAAACCGACAGCCTGCAATCATTGTATTCAGAAAAGTCGGCTTTCGCACTCGTAAAGTACTACATCGCTAGCGTGAAATGCATTACCTCGCGATCGAGCACGAGAACGCAGCTCCAAACGTTCAACAAGGACTTCCACGCTTGGCTGCAACAATCTGTACGTTAAGTCACTGTAGCCGAAAGCAGTATTTTGAAAGCGTTTCGAGATGTGAAAACATTGTGAAAGTAGAATATGGAATTGTAAAACCACAGATTGAATAATCAGAAAAATTTAATAATGATAAAATTAAGAAATCAGTCACGCTTGATTCCTCGATTCTTGACAAGAGATTTTTTAATCACGGATATTTGAGATTTTAGTTAGCAAAGAAATAAAAATATTATTTACGTTGCAGGTGCGACGACACCTGGATGACGAAAAGTGGTATCCAGCGTTCGGAGGTGTTCTGAGAGTAATGGCTACCTTGCGGGAATCAGGTAATATTTTATGACGGTCTCGCTGTCCGTAATTCGTCGCGTTGAAAAATTAATAAGACCGATATGCTATTCCGTTTAAGCGTCCGCACGGCTAAGAAACTGCAACTCGTGTAATATTTCTCTGACCATATTCGCAATTTATGCACAATTCTACCTGTGTGCCTTTAAAAGGAGTGAAGTAGAAACGTGTCCTTTTAGCTTTAGCTTTGATGCATTTTGGAGGTCAGACTGATCCTACACGCTTTCTCTCATCGCGCGTACAGTTTTACATTATTTTATAATTTTTAAATTATCTATGCTAGAAATAAATGTTGCTGGAAGTTTTATGTACAATTGTTAGATAAGATCAGTAGTAAAATATAGAAAATATCTATGAATTTAACGGACAGTTGTATTAAAAATTATAACTTATATTTTATGCTATAAGATGTGACATCCGTTTTCTAAAATATACTGTTAGTGTATCCGCGCACGCGATATTGATCTTTACAAACGTAATTTTAGAGCGTATTTCTTACAACTTGATGTCTTATCTCAGGTATAAGTAGCGGTATTGCGAAGAGCAAGACAAGCGGAACATATCAAGTTATGCCCAAAGGTGTGGAACGTGCTAGTCAGGCGGACAAGAACGTGTTGTCGCTTTATAAAGAAAAGGGAGAAAGTAGGTTGTTTTCTCAAGATAACGCGCGATAAGATTTTATGTTTTCGTATCCGTGCTACTAATTTAATACCGATAGCTCTCAATGCTCAAAGAAAACAATCAAATTTGTATTAATCGAATTTTAGGTAACGACAGCGTAATGACAACTACGGAAATCGTGATTATAGCGGTGGTATCCGCATTGGTAATATGGTTGCTGGTGGGTTTGAGCTTGGTGTGCTACAGATTCCTCACTCATAATTCCGAGAGATGTCCGCCGTGCGAATCGAAAACAACTCCGTAATTTAATATCCAATCTTATCAATCTTTTAAATTTCCCCGCAAGTAACGTCTGTACAAGTAACGATATTCTGTTTTTCCAGATTTGCGGTTCTGTATAAGAATGCGGACTATTGCCAGCCCGATACATGTCCCTCAAAGCCATTGCGCAAAGGCGTGGTTGAAAAATTAAAGGAATGGTGGAGGAATAGGTTTGGACGATGCCCAGGAGGATGCCAAGAGCATGCGGACGAGGAGCGTTGCTTAGCCGCAATCAGTTACAGCAGCAAAGATACTGTCAGCAGTAGCAGCAGGATTTATCCGTAAGCACACGTAACGTCTAAAATATTAAAATAATTTTACATTTAAATACTTTTATGAACACAGAAGGAAGAAATACACTAAATCTACGTCCGCTTTGCCATCAGGGATGTTCAGAAGTCGTACACATTTCAAAGTGAGTGATTACAATTGTATTATTACTTATTCATGTTTATAGATCTGTGTATAATCGTGAATTTTATCCACAGCATAGTGTTTGCTATAGTTCCGAAGGATCAACCACTTACTCTGACAGTCCAGCTAAACCGAGATAACAATTGCAATAAAGAATAATTTCAAGATTTTGAACATAGAAGTAATATAGAAAAAGTATGCAGAGATTATTCTGTTTTAAAATGTATCACTTAACTTTAGAATATTTTACTTAATAAAAAATAAATTCAACAGATATAACAAATATTTTTAACTTACAATTCTGTTACAATGTAGCTAAAAAATATGTGGAAAAAGCAAGTGTCAATTTATTGTAAATCATTAAGGGTAAAAATGTACAATTGAAAGAACAAATATGGAAGTTAGACTGTAATTTCATTATCAGCTGATTGCGTTTCTTCGATTGTGTTATACGCTTGCCGAATGTATCAGTGGATTTTCTTTCTCTGATCACGCGTGCGGGCTGCAACTTGTTGCAAGTGAGACGAGGATAAACGAGGCGAACGACGCGATGGGGGTGCAGAAATGCTGTGGGATTGCCGAATACGCTTGTTGCATACAAAAGCCGTTACCGCCATTAGTTGTTGTTAAGACATTTTCACATGTTTTGTTGTAAAAATAAATGCGCATTAATAGCAATAATGTCGAAATATCATACGATTGTTGTGTTAATTAGCGTATTTTCAATACAGAATGCGGTGATATAATAATAGTTGAAATTTATTTATTTATAATATTAGAAAGTGTGTGTCGGATTGTCGAATGTTCTTGATATAAATTGGAATCACAAGAAGTTGCTATTTTCGTCATTAATTGACGCATCATCAAGTAAAAGCATGTTTGGATATTTCTCGCTGATTTTTTTTCATAAAAGTAAATCATGTATTAATATTAATATTAATATTGATTAATATTAATGCTAAATATCGTATGGTCATTGATAAATAATATCAAGATAATCTAATCGATTGAAAATAATCGGTGATAAATATTGTAATATTAAAAAATAATAGGTGGTAAACATGTTTTATCACTATAATTTGTCCAATTGTGTCCAATCATGTTTCGCTTTGATGATTTTTGAACATATTTATTACTATTTCAAATCGCGAGAAGTTGCTGCTGCTGCAGTCATCGTTGCGATTTCAACGAGTGAGGATGTTTTTCTGTGTTTCTTTCTGATTTTATAAAAGTCATGTATTTGCATATTAATTCAGCAAAGTTAAATTAAGTATCGTGCAGTTACCATAAAATGTGAAATAATAATGAGATATAATCGTAACTTTACGAAGGCAGTGTGTTAAATCAGCGCTGATTATTACCTAACCTAACCTAACCTAACTCTAATCGGGTAACAGGTATGTTCTGACATTAGCATCATTTCCCGCCTATATTGGTTGCAAGTTCAAAATGTTTAAACCGCAAGAATTGCAGCCAGCGCCATTAGTTGTCTAGTTATAATTAAATAAAAATGGTTTCTTATTTGTTGCAGATTGCTGTATCTACGATTAATATCGGAGAAGTAGTGAATATATTAATATTTTTCGGGAGTGCCGAATCAAGTATCGCGCGATTATCTTTCACGTTCTTTTGCCAGTTTTTATTTTTTAAAAATAAATCTTGAGAGTGCCGGTAGTAATAGTGCGTAATCATAGTTAGCCGTGATATTTTATATTTACGCGTATATGTCGCGAGTGTGTGTTGATCCAGTTTTCAAGGAAGAGTCTCGTCTGGAATCGGCTTAAATCGTCGAGATGTCTTCGCACGAGTTTATTTAAGGTAAGCTTTATAATAATTAAAATGCTAGGTAATTATAATAATTCAAAAGAAATACGTTTTGTCTCATGTGATTTTAAGAAAACTGCGCATTGTAGTTATGATACAAGCAATTGTGTAAGGATAAGTCGGAAAATATCTGGTATTAATGAATAGGCGATTTCCAGTGCGAATAATTGACGGTTCTTGCGTCATGTTGCCCTCCCCGTTTACTCCGAATTGCGGCCGAGTAAGGATATCGTGTGTTTATATTTTCATCGGAATTCGGGTAAAAACTACTATGTTTTCATTCTCATCGGAGACTCTAACATCAACATATCGCGCCATCTCGCGTGGGGGAAACCGCCGCGTGGAGGGGGAAATGCTCGATCGCGCGCGCGTCTTTCGAGCGATACCGTGCGCAGCTTTCAGCCGGCCGGCAGTGTCGCGCGACACGTCGAGTGGTGCATTGTGTTTCGTGTGTTTGCGTGAGACGTGCGATGTGATACGCGTGTTTGCGTCGCGAAAATTACCAGTTCTTGAGAAAAACCGAATATCGTGGAGTCGCAGCGGTTTCGATCACTGCCATTGCTGATCGCGGACTTTCGTTGAAAATATATTTGCCGAAAACTTACGCGCTGATGTTCGTTGCACGTCTTCGGCAGTCAGTGACAGTAAAGATGTCAGCGTGACAGTTAACGCGCGATGTGTGACACACGCGTGGACAGCATCGTTCGTAAGTTCCGTCCACGAATTTCGGTGAACGACGTTTGAACGATCGAGAAAAGGACATTTCGCGGCGGTCACGTGCGGACGCGCGGTAATCGCGGTGATACATTGTTTAGACACGTCGTATCCGAACTGAAATACTTGCAGCGATTGTGTGTGTGACGAGGACAAGAACGAAAACTGTCAAAAAGATCCGATTTTCTGAATTAATTTTCAGACATGTATTTTTTGGAGTAAAGGGGAAACAACATGGCACAAGTCAACCGCCAATTATGCGCATTGGTCTTCCTGCTTTTCTTCGCGGACATCTTAAAAGGTTAGTTTAATATTTCACGTATGTGGGAAATAAACGGCACGTTTGAGGCGTTAATAAAAATACGCTACGGACAATTAAAAATTGTATAACAATTATAGAATTTTATGATTTTATAGAAAGATGCTTCTGAATCGAAATAGAATTTTTTCTCTCTCGCTTGTATCACGATCATATGTTTGACTATGCTTTCATGTATTTTTATTAATTCCTCGAGATTGAAGTTTATGAAGAGACAGAAGTTGGAATTTCGATTTATAAATTAAAATTTTACAAATTAAATTACAAATCACAAATTAAATTAAATTTCTAATATATATTTCTATATTTTGCAATTTGAAGATAATGTTTTAAATTATTCTAATGTTTTTATGAGAAATTACTTATTAATAATTCTGTTATTCTGTTGTGATAATATTAAATACTTTTTTAGTTTATTTAGGATATTAATAATAACGTTATTCATAATTACGTGTTTATTTTACATGTTATTTTTTATTATTTGCATTATTTTAATCGAAAAAATTCTCGAAAATATATAAATATCACGTATGATAAAGCAAACCTTTAATCTTTATTTGAAATTTGCGATCAGCCGAAAGTATTTGAAAAGCACTTTCTCTCTTTCACTCTTTCCTTCTCTCTTTCTCTCTTTCAACTTCTGTTCTTCATAAACATTCAACAAGTGGCGACAGGTCCAGGTGCGAGTTAAGTTCAGTTGAGAGCTTTTCAAATCGCTTGAACTTCACGAGTTTTTCCGTAAAATATTGAACTTTGCGTCTTTATAACATCTATATTTGTATCACCGTAAGTAGCGTGGGGCTAGCGCGCTAGCCTAGTAAGTTAGAGATGGCGAGTCGATCCCGTCCGCGCTCTTCCACCAATGGCAACATATTAGCATAAAGTTCTCGTAAAAGTCGTGACGAAAGAAAATGGGAAAGACTTGACGGGTTCTATCACTCTAACGCGTTTCTTCGGAATCGTAATAAAGACGAGTCTATCCTTCTCTAAATTCGTCTGGCCGTAAACTGAAGAAATAGTCTATCCAGATAATGTGGTGATAAAGGTTGAATGCTGTCCAATCTTTTTGTACATGCAAGCTACTATTTTTTAATAAAGCGATCTTGCGATCTACTCATGTATAGAGGAAAAAATATAATATTAAATATAAAATTAGAATTATGATTTTGACATTTATTGAACATATAGAGACAAACTAAGTGTCAAGATATAAAGAAATTAATAGAAACAAAATAAATATTAAAATTAGAAACATAGATTTTATGATAAAACCAAACAAAGTAAAAATCAAAATGTGAAGATCTATCAAAAAACACGTCGCGATCGACTAGATGGGCATGCCAGGTATATTGTCATTTATGAAATATTTGAAACTGCTCTTTTAAAATTTTATAAAAATATATACTCGATTTCAGCTATTAACGAGTGATATACTTAGCTTTAAGCATCCTGTACATATAGTTACATGGTTATGTAATACCGTATAGAAATTCATTGTCAGTTACTCGCGCGCTAATTTCATTATCAACGTTATCGCGTTGTTAAACTGATAGTGTATGTGGCACACACACACACACACAATAGAGAATGGTAATTTATGTATAAACGAGTCTGCATATATTTCCTTTTTCTATTTTACTTTATAATGAATATTTACGAGATGGAAAACCACGGTATTTTTCATGAATATATTTCTACATGCCTTCTCTTTTGAGTTAACATAGCAAATATAAACGAAAAGCATTTTTAAATTGTGTCCTAAGCATCGAAATGAAAAACAGACGAAAGTCAATTTCCCCGTGCTTGTTAAAAAAAAAAACAGAAAATGTGTTATCAAACTCTCGGTTAATTCAAGCGCTCATATTTTTCGAGAAACGAGTTGACGTTAAATCTATTAGTCTTGGAGTTCCCACTCTCTAACAAGAAAGGTAAAAGTGGTCCAGGTCTTGTCGACAACGTCGCAGAAATCGCCTCTCGTGGACTCAGCCATCCGTAAATGAAAAGCGTTGCTTGTTACGCGGCCGGAGTGGGTGTCAAGGGAGACGGTAATAGTACATTAGACGGTAATTAAAAGTGAGCCTATTACCCTGGTTAACGGAGCGTGAAATGCTTTAAATCGTTTACAAATTACAACGTCTATGAGCGTTGAAACGTCTGCTATTACGTATACACGAAATTTACGTGGTAATTCGCATAACTGCAACACGATATCTTATATTGCCCAACACAGTTATCTTAAGGATAAATGAGATCATCTCTTCTAGTCAGAAAGCTTCACTTTAAATTTCTAACTCATAATTCCGGTGCTCAATCGATTCATAGATTTTAATAGAGTGACGAAACGCTGCAGCTATCTTAATAATAAATGAGAGCATCTCTTCTAGTCAGAAAGCTTCACTTTAAATTTCTAACTGATAATTCCGGTGCTCAATCGATTCATAGATTTAATAGAGTGACAAAACGCTGCAGTTATCTTAATGATAAATGAGAGCATCTCTTCTAATCAGAAAACTTTACTTTAAATTTCTAACTGATAATTCCGGTGCTCAATCGATTCATAGATTTTTTATAGAGTGACGAAACGCTGCAATCACTGAAATTGCAATACCGTTGATGATACAAAATTTTGCGATTTGTATGTGCAGCAAAATTTATCGGTACATGAATCAGAAATGCCAAATAATTTAATTAGGAAATATCAGTGTGTAAAAAATACAAACTGGAATTTTAACAGAACGTGTATATAAAACTACTTGATTGTAAGTTTGTATTGTAATTGTCTTCCGTTAAAATAACATTAAATATATCACATTATTATCTCGATATCTGTATCATCTGGATATCATATTATATCTGTAAAAAAATTCACTAAATTTAACTAATTGTAAGATGTAAAATTATATGATAAATGACGGAAATATACTAAATAAATAGTATAAAATTTATGAAATTATGTAAATTTACATTATATATTTAATAAATTTCTGTTATTTATCGTGTAACTTTTACATCTTAGTTGTGTAAATTTACCGATTTTTTTACAGTGTAGACTATTTTTTCAGCTACGACCAGACGAATTTAGAGAAGAATAGCCCCGTCTTTTTAGAAATTCTTTTGACATCAACGCGTGTTAAATTTATAGATTATCCGATGAGATCGCAACGAGGACCCGCATTCTCTTTTCTCTCTCTCTTTTTTTACAACTTATTTATGCCTTCGAGAGGTGCGACGTTATTGGCTTGTAAATAACGAATATTATGCGCGGCAGCGTATCCCGGCGTTTTAAGGACTCCATCGGACGTTATTTAGAGCTCAAAGGGAACGGCGTGAGGCGTGACGGTACAACAAATTATTACGATGATGATTTTGAAGAAGCGCGTCAGGAAGGGTGAGAGAACCCGCCAGTAGTTCCCGTTTTCTTTCGTCACCAGTCGCGACTACGAGAACTTTATGCTAATATGTTGCTATCGATAACAGGCATCTTATATCGTTATTTTTATCCATAATTTTTTTCTGTGTAAACATGTATAGTAAAAAAAATTTTGATTTAAAGTTATATTTTTTTGAAAAAAGTGATATATTTGTAATAGAAGACGGATAATATGTCTCGACGACCTATTTTTAGGCGAGCATTCAAGTTCTTTTTATACTTTGCCTTTTTAACGGAATATTTTACTTGGGGATACGAGAAAACACATAACATTGAAACGTGATTCGAATCTTATACGCGGAACTAAAAAAGATTACGTAGTGGCAAATCGTGACAAAATTTCTTTTTATTCCGCAGAATCGATGTGCAATATTATAGCGCGAATACAAAACACCGAGAAATACTCGCACGTTAAAGACGTTAGCGGGCAAAAGCGAGAAGCAGTGATATGTCGTTCGCAGGAGAGGAGCGTGTAACGCGTGGTTTTATACTTCTTGCGATCGTAAATAGTAGACGACATCCGTAAGGTAAGCCGCGTTGTATCGATTACCGTGGAGAAACGCTTAGCCGGTCATGCTAGTATAGTGCACACGTTCTGCGCGGCGCGAGGATGAGTAATTTACGCGACTGTTTTTCGCCGTATATTAAATGCATGTCGGTTAACAGCGTCGATGCGGTTAATGATCGATAAACCCGGTTGATTGTATGCCGCTTGTGTTCACCGTACGACTTATCGTCCTATAAATCGTGAATCGCGTGATCTCGTGCTTGGATTTGCCGGGGATTTTTGCAAATAACTTGATGCTACAGATTTGCTCTCGCAATATCAAAATATAGATACTGATTATTTCGAATAACAATTTCTATTCAACGTTAGCGATGGTACCCACGCTTGAAAGATACTTTTTTATTACGAAATAATAGGGATTTGCAGAATGGAATTTAACGCTGAGTTGCATTTACATATTTTTCCCCATATTTTTTATTGCACGGGAATTTATTCGCTGAAAATATTTTATAGTAAAAAATAATTCAATTAAAAAAAATTGTATGCTAAAGAATATGTGGTATCTAACATTTTACGATTTTTTATCGTTAGAAACCATATATTTTTGGAAATTTATCACGATATATATATTTTTGGAGAAAAACTTATAGTATATATTCAATATCAGATAAGTAAAATCGTTAAATGTGAGCATTCCTGTCTTCCCTCTCGTGCCTCTTGGTGCTACATATTCATTGATACGCATTTCCATTGCGACAGTGTCGAAATTCGCTCACAAAAGAAAACGAACGGTGTGCGTCGCGCCGTTTAAGCCACCCACGCGTAAGCTCGTATCGATTTTAATTAAACTATAAATATGTATGGACCGTTAGCCGCGGGATGAAAATTCGAATTATCGTGTTGATCTCGCGCAAAGGTCGACCCTCGGCGATTACGATTTCCCTTGCGTGCCGATCCGTATGTATTTTTAATGCATTATCATTTTGCCGCAATAATAATTGACAAATTCAGCACTTTGAACGTTAGGTAGGCTTTAAACGTTTC